GTTTTGATACATGCAGAGGCTTCCTCAGTGCTTGAGTGTCTAGTTTGCAAGCATTAGATTCAACTCATGGCATCTCCTTAGCAGAAGACCTCCTATCCACCACTCGGGAAAGACTCTGCAGTCAATTTAGATAATGCCAAATTGAGCTGAATGGACCAATGATCTGATTCAGCATAAATCTTCTTTTCTTTGTTCCAATTTTAGGATGTTGTGTATACGCAATTAACTTGGGCACATGGAAAGACTGGTGATGTTCCATCCAGCATATGTCCTAGAACACATCTATCATGTACAGTAAGTTATTACTGAATATTTTTTTTTCTTTAACAGCAGCCACCACACTCAGTATAATCCAAGTGTACAACTATGAGATTGTACAACTTTCATTGATTGGAATTGAGATTTTATAAGGGCTGTTCTCACCCTTATCTCTCCAAGACCAAAAGAGTCACATTTTTTGCCTTGTATTTGACAAGCTCACAAGAGAAAATTGAACATGTACATTTCCTCTGGTGGCTGCATTTCAAAAATGAACAAAAACAAGAATCAACACTGCTGAAAGCATTCCTAAATCTATTGGAGCTTTTAATCAATAAAATCTTATAGATATAAAAAATATTCTGCTCAGTTTGATTTCTATATATATATACATCCCAAATAATTTCTCTCTGGAGACGGTCAACTGCTACCTTTATGTAAGAAATACAAGAATATATCAAGAGATTCAATTTATACCTGAGACTACTTTGTTTTTTTTTTTTGTTTTTTTTTTTGCATATTGATGTTCTTCAAACTGTTTAATGGTTCAAACCCATGTAGTGTAACTTCTCATCAAAATGAACTGAATCATTGTTTCCATTGGGTTCTATGGAGCGCAATTCAAAACCTGCTGGTACAGTTGGATAAACTTAAAACATAACGACAGTATAAAGATACAAAATGAAACCCAGTTAAAGGAATAACTGATAGAAAGCGAGGCAATGTGAATTTGGCAAACACCAGCAGGTCTTATGTTGTTGTTGACATACATACTGATTCTCAAAAACATAACAATGCATATACGTACACCGTAATACTAAAAGGCACACCTTGTCTTGGCTACGCTTTCTTTTCTAAGTCAAGTGTCAAAAAGCAAAAATGGAATATAGGACATCATCAGAATGATACCCAGTAAAGTACATGTATTAGGAAGATGTATCAGCTGCAGCTGAGGAAAACCATCCAGATCGTTGATGTTTTGTTTGCCTCAACTTTACAAATTTAAGACTGGTTTAATACTTGTTCCTTTCTCCCAGGAGAATGGTCTTCTGATTTTGCAAGAACATTTAAAGAACAGGTGAAGATGTCAAATTATCAAGGGGTTTTGGTATTTTTTTGGTCCAGGGGGAAAAAGTCCCTTCCAATTTTCATATTTCTGGTGCATCCAAGCTAGCCAAAACTGATGGTGAAAAAAAAAATGTAAAGGGATTATTAAGTGTTTTTCTCCGCTTGCTATTTCATGGAGAAAATTGCAATATGATCCTTCTGATTCATATCACAGATACGAATATCACGAGTATCACAGAGAAGGAAAATAAAGGTAGTCCTTGACTTACAACCACTCATTTAGTGACTGTTCAAAGTTACAATGGCACTGACCAAAGTGACTTACAGCTGGTCCTCACCTTTGCAAGCCATACAACCTCCCCACGGTCAAGGGATCAAAATTCAGGCACTTGGCAATCGACACGTACCGTATTTGTGACGGTTGCAGCTTCCTGGGGGTCACGTGATTACTGTGTGATCATGTGATCACTGACTTTCCCAGTTGGCTTCTGACAAGCAAAGTCAATGGAGGGAGCCAGATTTCCTTAAAGCCTGTGTGATTCATTTAATTGCAGTGATGTGCTTAGCATCCATGGCAAAAAAGGTCATAAAATTGAGTGTGATTCACTTCAGCCACATTGTTTAGCAACAGCAATGTTTATCTCAATTGTGGTCATAAGTCGAGGATGTACCTGTACCTTTAGTTTCAGGCAAAGTAATCTAACAAGACCAAGGACTAAAGGTAAATTTTGGGAGATTAAGAAATAGGATGTCCTTGCCTGTGTGTTTTTTTTTTTCCAAAATAAAACCATCTGCCTTCTGAAAATAAAGCTTTCATTACTGTACGTTACTAGGTTTTGATAAACACCTCCTCCTTTTTTTCTATGAAAGTCATTAAGGGATGGCGGTCATTGCAATTGGCGCCTGGGAAATCTGCAAATTGTTTTGGCAAGCAAGTTATTTCTAGGGCCCAACCTGAGTGATGCTATGGTTCTTCTTTTGAAACCACGGCCAATAAAATATTTAAACCAGGGTTCAGCTCAGTGTTATGGAAAACACACTGTGCAAATCAACTCTTGGCGTGTATTTAAATATACCGAAAAAAATATGGGGAACGCATATTTAAAAACCCAGAGTTGGCAATGATAGGCTTCCCCTAAAGTTGTTCCGAAGTTCCCCCCTTCAGAATGACAGAATATATGATTCGCTCAAAATATCTACTGATTTTTTCTCTTTCCCTGTTAAGTTCTATGAAAATACGGTGGGAGCAGGCACTTTGGCACACAAAAACTCTTTTCTTGTCTCGTTTGGAAAAAAGACATGTTTTTAAAACAATGACAAGAAGAATGTGGGTGTTTCCCCCCCCAAAATGCCAGACACACAATATTTGGTGTGTCTGCCTTTACTGAATGCAGCTCTTGAGGAGAAGAGGAGATTCAAGGGATCAGCTGTTTCTTAAAAGGTTCTAATTCACCCACTATCGCTCCAGTTAATATTTGGTGTGAATTTCAGAATTAGGCATTATAAAAGCCCCACACTTTTTTTTGAATTTTGGAAAGGGTGCTTCTATTTCTGATCAAAATCCGCTTCTGTGTCTTTTATCCAACATTCTATCCAGTGGTGGGATTCAGCCGGTTCGTACCATTTCGGGAGAACCAGTTGTTAACTTTCTGAGCAGTTTGGTGAACTGATTGTTGGAAGAAATCATTAGGGCAGAGAACCGGTTGTTAAATTATTTGAATCCCACCACTGATTCTATCCCATTCTGTGCCAGAATATCCCTTTGAAAGTGTGTGTGCACATATATTGTATATATACAAATACTTTGCTACTCCAAATATGAGGAGATGCTTCCTCCTAAATAAAATTCATGTGGCATATTTCAACTGCCAAGGACCGCATGATGGCCTATGGGTGCCCACATAAATTCAAGTCGGAATCTAAATTACAATCAGTCTCAGAGAGGTGAAGTTTTTCTTCCTATAGAAACATTCTTCAAGTGGAGGGCGGGGGGACATGATTTCATGGCCACTGCTGAAGACAAAGTAGAACAAGGATTGAACAGGACTATTCTCTTTCAGTGAAGAGTATGCCTTCTATCTAAAACATCTTGCTCCATCCAACACACCAAAGGAAACATCAACATTCACCAATTGCATCCAGTCAAGGACTTGTTTTCTCTCTTAGCTTTACAAAATACAGAAGAAGAGATGGGGAAGTGACCTTGGAGATCTTCTAGCCCGAAGTCCTGCTCAAGCATGAGACCTTAAACCAAAGGTCTTCAAACTTGGCAGCTTTAAGACTTGTGGACTTCAACTCCCAGAATTCTCCATAGCATAGCTGGCTGGAGAATTCTGGGAGTTGAAGTCCACAAGTCTTAAAGCTGCCAAGTTTGAAGACCTCTGCCTTAAACCATTCCTGACCAATGGCCATCCAATCTCTTCTTAAAAACCTCCAGCCATGGACCACCTACAACTTCTGGAGACACGTTTTATACCTTTGGTGTCTGAAGTCTGTGCTTGGGAATAAACATGAAATGACTCTCATTCTGTCTAGCTCAGTGCTACGGTTGTCTCTTGGCCCTATCCTTCATTGCCACATGATTCTGAGGTATGCTTGTATCGAGGTCATACTTAAACATGGAATGTGCATAGGCTTATGTGCATGTGATGTGGTAGTTCTCATGCATGGTGTTGTTGGGGCAATGGATGCCACAAGCTGCAATTTTGTATGGGTGGCCTTTGAAAGGGAGAAATTGATAACTTAAATCTCAGTGAAGTGGGTTGTGGAACCCCTAGTCCTCATCTAGCAGATACTTCAATTGAGCAATGCTAGACCTTTATCTAATTCAATTAATATCCTCACTTCCAATTACAATTAATATACGGAAGGGCAACTTCTATCTTCTCACAGTTTAGAATTAAAGAGCTGGAATTCCTTCTACAAACCATGGCAGAGGTTCTAAAAATGCTCAGAAGCATTCTTTCACTCTTCAAGTTTTGTTAGAAATCATGCTGGTCACCTAGTCCCTACGAAACATCTAGAATCTTTCCTAACCTGGGCATCGCCAGATATCTGAACCATCCCCCAAAATTCCCAGATAACATGATCATTGCTGAGAGAACTCTGGGAGTTGAAGTTCACAAATCTGGAGGCCACTTTGGAGAAAGCTATATCTATACCAGATTTCTCCAATTGGGTGCCTAGGAAAATTAAATCCAATGTTGGGCTTTAATTCACAAAAATCCCAACCAGCAATGTTTGATGTTCTGGGAAATGTAACCAAACACCATCAGAAAGGTACCAACTTGAAGAAAGCTGCTTCCATAGTGAACTCTCATGGATGTTGCACTTTTCTTCAGGCATAGCATCATCTCCCATCCCCTTGTGATACTTGTAATACCTTATCGCTGGCTACCCTTTTCTAGCCTTGGTCAACTATTGCAATAAAGAGAAAAGAACACAAATTGGTACATGGAAAAAAACCAAAGAGAACATCATTTTACGGCACTAGCTGAGTATGCAACGTGTAGTTAATCAAAACGCAACACCCCTGATATACAAGTCAATCTTTCCCAAGCTGCCTGAAGGTTATTTCAAGATCTGGACCGATGAATGGACGTTTGCAATGACACACATGTACGGGTGGGTACACACCCCAAAAGATGTCCCGCTAATCAAAAGGGGTGGGAAAATTTGCTTTAACGAGGGCTTTATTTCGAAGAGAACTGTTGGGTGGAGCAAGGGCAAAGGAAGAGTTGATTGAGCAGTGATGTAAGGCAAGGAGGTTTCGTGAACGGCTACACCATACCACTTTGCATGTGTATGTGGAAGGAATAGGGCTGGTAGATAATAGACGGTTGTCCATGAGCGATATAGTAATTGCTGAAGTTCCTGTCGCTGATATAAGGGGCAGGCTGGTAGTAGCAGGTTACATTGGCTACATTGGGGATGATGTTCTGCTCTCCAAGTACTTTGAGAGCCAGGATTGTAATCATATTTAGCGTTTGCCTTCGTTCGTGGCCCATAAGGCAGACCGTGCTTTCGTTGACAACTCCACGCAAGGTCATCAGGTAGTCATACTTGCTCTTCTCTTCCCCAATGAAGTGATTGCGCAGGTAAGACTCAATCTTCCGCTGTTGCTCAGCTACATCTGGAAAGTCGATGAAGAACCGAGAACACATGTAACGTTCCAATGACTTAATCTCTACTTCATCCGCTGGCTTAAAATCCCGGACCAGAAGATTGCTGTATTTCAAAAGACCTCCTCCACGGATCTCTTCCGGGTTCCTTGTAGCAATGAGTTTGTATTTCAAGTGGTCCATAGCTTCCTCAAAGTCTCCGTACATGCTCTCAGCAACGACAGACAGCTCTGCATCTTCCGTCAGTTTGCCATTCTCATCGCTGTAGACATCCAACACAGTGTCGAGGATGATCTGAAATGAATCTACGCTGAACTCAAACTGCCGCCGCAGAGAGTTGACGAACTTGAGCTCCACATTTTTGCCACTGTTGTTGGACAAGGAGATGAGGCTCCAGCGGTCATGATCTGTGGATACTTTCACCATCTTCTGAACATAAGCCTCCTTCATGGTCTGTGCTGTGATTTTTTCCTTGTTGACACCTTTCGGTAAAAAATCCAAGAGGCAATTCAAGACAGCTTCCTTCACAACTTGAAATTCATGCGCACTTGGAAGCTCCACGCCAAAAATGATGTCCAGGTCTTTGTAGCTGGTGCCATTTTGCTTAACCAGGATGTGACTAGCCGTGGATCCATTCAAGCGAATGTCATGGACAATGATCTGTTTCTTTATCAGTTGCTCTTTGACAACATGAATGATGTCTTTTGGCTTTACCTCTAAAGTTGGAAAATTCCCTCTTCCATGAATGGGGATCACCTCAGTCAGCACTTGATCCAGTATTTTAATCTGTTCCCAGGTGAGATAACTGAATCTGTGATCTAAACCCTCAGTCATCCTGAAATCAGGTGGTCAACTAAGAAGAAAGCACAAAAAGAGGAAGAATCAGGAACAGCTTAAAAGTTAATAAATTTGGCAGTGTGATTGCATGATAAAAACTCAAGTTAGAATTGATTGACTGATCAATTGATTGATCTGGAGCTGGGGAAGAATTTACAGCTTCAATAATTCCACTGGCCAAGGAGATATTGACTCCATGCACACCTTCAAGATTTGCATAGGGGCCATTCTCCTCAACTTCAAAACATTTATGAAGGGTTTTAATGCAAATTTATATGTGCATGTAGCTTTTTACTGGACCGAGAACCTTGAATGGTCACTGTTTTGAACCTGGCTTGAGAAAAACTCTGTGTATAAAGTATAGACATAGATACCCACCTTAGACACCTGCGCTAGGCTACTAAATGTTATCCTAGTGTGCCTTTTACCCAGAATGTGTGCAGAATTTTGAATAAACTATTCAAAAACTAAACTATTCCCTATTCCCTATCTCTTGATCTTCTTAGGACTAAAACTTTGTTGCTTGTATCTTACGATTGATTTACTTAGTATCCTAGTATGATTTATGACCGGGGGGCTTTTTATCAGGTTCGCCTGATACGCCAGTTGCGTCCCTTTCTAGATCGGGACTCCCTACGCACGGTCACTCAAGCACTCGTCACTTCCCGTCTGGACTGCAATGCTCTGTACATGGGGCTCCCCTTGGGGTGCACCCGGAGGTTCCAGTTGGTCCAGAATGCGGCCGCGCGGGGGATTATGGGAGTGACGGGGAGCTCCCATGTGACACCTCTCCTGCGCAAGCTGCACTGGCTTCCTGTGGTCTTCAGGGTGCGCTTCAAGGTGTTGGTGACCACCTTTAAAGCGCTCCATGGCTTAGGGCCGGGGTATTTACGAGACCACCTTCTGCCACCAATAGCTTCCCACTGGCCAGTACGCTCCCACAGAGAGGGACTCCTCAGGGTGCTGTCGGCCAGACAATATCGGCTGGCGACCCCCAGGGGGAGGGCCTTCTCTATGGCGGCACCGGCCCTCTGGAACGACCTACCCCCAGAGATACGCACGATACCAGACCTCCGGACTTTTCGGCGGACCCTGAAAACACATCTTTTTCACCTAGCCGGGCTGGCTTGATCCCATCCCTTCGATTTTAATTTGTAATTGGTTTTAACCCGGGTTGTTTTAAATGGATAGCCAAAATTATTTAATGTTTTTTAAATTGCTTTTAAATTTTATATGTTATGTTTTATCATGGCTGTTCACTGCTCTGAGTCCTGTTGGAGAAGGGCGGTATACAAATTAAATAAAAATAAAAAATAAATAAAATAAATGTTGATTGCTTATTTAGTATCCACGACTATCAGTAAGTGTTGTATCTAATGTTTTATGATGAATGTATTTTTACAATGACCATGATAATGATCTATCACTATTGTATGTACACTGAGAGCTTATGCACCGGAGATAAATTCCTTGTGTGTCTAATCACACTTGGCCAATAAAGAATTCTAATAATTCTAATTCTAATTCTACTAATTCTCATTCTCATAATTCTAATTCTAATAATTCTAATTCTAAAAGTCCCAGGAGATAGTATGGCTCTTAGTTTTTTGTTGCAGTTTGAAGTAGAACAATTGCCTACCCACAAAAGCACACAGTTAATATATAGCATTTCTATTTTATTTATTTTTTTCCCCATCACCTGATTCAAGCAGCAGTTGACGAGTTCTTGCATGCTCATTTATCTTAATTTGCTTGCTCCTATTAAATGTGTTGCTGGAGTGGGAATTTCAGATTCCTTTTTTTTTCTTTCCCTTGATAGCTTTACTGCTGTTTTTTGTGTGTGTTCTATTCTGAATCATACCATTAGCTCAGTTGGACTAATAAAAACACACAATTTACCACTTAGAGGAGCATTAAACCAAGCCAACCACAGGGTGTACTTAACAACCCCATGTTGACATAAGGCACTTCCACACTTACTCTGTGTGCTGCCAGTTTCACCACCCAAACACTCAACTGAGTTCTGCTACTGCAATTTGAAGCCTCGATAAATGCTGGTGGGGCCAGCTACTGCCCCCCACCCCACACAATTAGAACAGAAACAGAAGCTGACCCTAGTTGTGGGTTTCTTTTTTTTTCATTTTTGCAATGTTAGCTTTCCACAACAAGGGATAGAAACTTTCAGTAAAAAGAGGCAAACCAACCACTGACAGAGTAACAGCAAAGAAATTCCTGTTTAGCTAGAAATAGCAGTAGCAGCAGAAGAAGGAGGAGGAGGAGGAGGAGGAGGAGGAGGAGGAGGAGGAGGAGGAGGAGGAAGAGGAGGAGGAGGAGGAGGAGGAGGAGGAGGAGGAGAAGAAGAAGAAGAAGAAGAAGAAGAAGAAGAAGAAGAAGAAGAAGAAGAAGAAGAAGAAGAAGAAGAAGAAAACACACAGAGAGAAATCTCAGAAATAGATGCTTCTCGATTTCAGATGGCCGAAATCGAGCCATCTCAATTTCAGAGAAGCACTGCGAAATTATCATGGTAATACTTTCTCTGGAGGAGAAAATGAGTTGATTGACTTTGAAATTAATCAAGTAAATCCCCCCCCCCAGAGGCAGGGGTTTAATATACAGTAATACAAATATTAGAAAAAGAACCAAAGAAGAAAGAATAGTGAATAAATAAGAAAGAAAATAGAAAATAATGAGGAGGAGGAGGGAGGAGGAGGAGGAAAGAAAGAAGGAAGGTAGGAAGAAAAGGAGGGAGGGAAGGAGGGAGGGAAGGAAGAAGGGAGGGAAAGAAGGAAAGAAGGAAGGAAGGAGGGAGGGAGGGAGGGAGAGAAAAAGGAAGGAAGGAATGAAAGAAGGAAGAAAGAAGGCAAGGAAGAAAGAAGAGAGGGAGGGAGAGAAGGTAGGAGGGAGGGAGGAAAGGAAGGAAGGAAAGAAGGACAGAGAGAGGGAGGGAGGGAAGGAAAGAAGGCAGGAGGGAAGGAAGGAAGGAAGGAAGGAAAGAAGGAAGAAAGACAGGGCAAGGAAGAAAGAAGAGAGGGAGGGATGGAAGGAAGGAAGGAAAGAAGAAAGGAAGGACAGAGGGAGGGAGGGAGGGAAGGAAAGAAGGAAGGAAGGAATATTATAAAAAAGCAATTTCCAATTAATTAACATCAATTAGAAATGCATTTATATTTTTCTTTTAAGGTGACATAGCAATTTCTTTCTTTCCATAACCTATTGTCTGTTTTCAAGGGAAAGAATATCATCAAAAATGCTCCTTTAGGCATAGCCAAGAGCTTCAACAGGCTATGGTATTTAAACCAGACCTTTCTGCTTTGCAAAGGAAGATCCAAAGCAAGGAATTACTTTTTTCCCCTGAGAGATAAAAGCGTCAAGATGCTGTGAGAAGCCAGGCTACCTGAAAAGCAGATAGCTTCTGGGCTGAGGGTCTTCTGCCCTTTTAAGACCCCTCCCCAAGCCAGTCTAGCTGCCCAGCACTGAGAAGCTATAAAAGCAGAGCAGAAAAACATCTGGGTGTTGTGGAGTAGAAGGGAAGTTGTTTCCATGACTATGAAAACAGAGAACTGGAAGCAACCTGGGGATTAAGAGACAGTGGTAGTTTACTACCAGTAGCAGCAGAAGCAGTGGTAGACCTGGGGAAAGGAACTGGGATTGCTACCCAAATCCTCTGGGGATTTGGGAGCTGAGAGTTCACTGAATTTGGATATTGACAAAGGAACCTGTGACAGATGCCTATCTCAACCTTCTATTACATTCTGATTTGTGTCCATAAGAAACATGATTTTGAATGCACAGGCAGAGGCTCTTTGTTCTTAAGCCAAGCGATGAAGCTCCTACAACTTCTGATGATATGAGTCAGAAAGCATAATACACTTTCAGTACCAACTTTCTCTATTCCGATAGTCTCCCTTGTGTGTTTTAACTACAGTTCCCAGAATTCTTCTTTAACCATGCTGGTGTTGGGAAACTGACAGCTAGGGTGGAAGGAAGGGTCAAGTGAGGACCTAGCTTAGAACCTTGCACAGCCTCAAGAGGCATAAGCTTGACCTCCCCCAAGACCCATGAAGCCTATCTGCTTGTTGTCAGAGTTTGTTGCAGGACACACACAATCAGACACACAATTAAATGAACTGCAGGATTCATCTACGTAAGAAAATGCCTTTATATAAAATACCATTGTAGGTTTTCCCACATTGTGGGAAGAGAAGAGAAATAGAAAGCACAAACACAGCACAAAATGGAGAAGGCAAAATGGAGGAGAGAGAAGCTAGTCCCCTCCAGTTTATATACAGAACAGTTAAGCCACGCCCAGGCTCCAAACTCTCTCTTATGGCCCCATACAACAAATGCTATGTTTCAGTTACCAAACAGCCCTCATTGGCTAACCTGTTACTATCCCTATTCCAGTTCATGAATATCTGTTACTATCCCTATTCCAGTTCATGAATATCCCAGGGGAAAGCAAGCAGTCTGGAAAAATCCTTGTAACTTAGGTAGAAGACAGTAAAATTGGCTTGCTTTAGGTCTTTATGAGTGCCTCTGTTGACTTGCACCTGCTGTAGAACCTTCTAAGTAGCCATCAATTTAATGGATGTTATGCTATGTAGTGGGAAGAATCTGAAATGGCTAGATATACATATCAACTGATCATTGATAATTTAGCTCAGATTATATTAGCCCCTCAGTACACTGAGTGAAAATTGAGGGAACAAATGAGCCAACAAGGGATCATTCCAGAGGGGTTTATCTCTTGGTCGTCTTTCAAAGTTACTCCTGTGCTTTATTTACTCTTTGTATCCCTCGTTTTTTTAAAAGGGACGCGGTGGCTCAGTGGCTAAGATGCTGAGCTTGTCGATCGAAAGCTTGGCAGTTCAGCGGTTCGAATCCCTAGTGCCGCGTAATGGGGTGAGCTCCCGTAACTTGTCCCAGCTTCTGCCAACCTAGCATTTCGAAAGCATGTAAAAAATACAAGTAGAAAAATAGGGACCACCTTTGGTGGGAAGGGAACAGCGTTCCGTGAGC